TTCGCTGTGATTCAGTTAATTGGATTTTTCCTTCAGTGTCCGACACATAAATCACGCTTAGTATTTGCACTCTTGCGACACGAAAGTGCGACATGTAATTATCAGGTAGGGCCAGAAACTGCCTGTTATTATTGTCGTCATCTGCATAACTATTTTAAGAAATTAGGTCAAAGTGCAACGAGCTCACAAATCTAAACATTATAACACAAATAACTCACCTGTTTCTGAAGAGGTTACTTTAAAAAAAATGTCAATTTTCCATGAAGGGAAAAACAGTTAATCCAGTATTTAGTGAGGTGTGAAGAAAAGAAGCAAAGAAGCTTCTTGCTCGTCTTGCAGCTGACAGTGAGACACACCTGCTGTCTTTTAAGGTTTCATCCCCCTCCTGCAGACAGGGGAGGGAGCCGGCCTCAGGGTGGGGCCAGACCTGCCAGACACCCAATGACAGAGCCTGGCTTAAACTTTTAGCGTTCCAAACTCAGCAAATAGAAGTTTGAATTGTGTGAATACTCTTAAGATAAAGGAGGCATCTCATTTTAAAGGTCCAGTGTGCAGGATTTAGGGGGATATATTGGCAGAAAAAGAATATAATTCAAGAAGCATGTATGAAAATAAGAATTATTGTGTTTTTGTAACTTTAGAATGAGCCGTTTATATCTACATAGGGAGCAGGTCCTCCTCTGTGGAGACCACCATGTTTCTACAGCAGCCCAGAACAGACAAGCCTAGCACTGGCTCTAGATGGCACCATTTGGATTTTTAGGTTTTGCCACGGCCACCATAGTTAGAGGCCAATCTGCAATGAGCATTGTCGGAAAAACACTTATTTTTTTGTTTGTTTGTATATTTTATTTTATTTTTTCAAAATATACAAAGCACACAGTCACAAATTGACAGCACTACTGTTACATTACAAACGTTTCAAAAATAAATTAACAGACAATAAAATAAATTGGCACGTGACAATGGAAATAAAAATGTAACTAATAAAATTAAATACTACACTACAAAAATGGGGGCTGGGGGGTTTGAGAGTTGGCGTAAAAACACACAGATTTTTAATGTTAAACTGCTTTATGCAGTGTTTTTGCCGGTTTTAATCACTTGGTCTGTTTGCTTTGAAGAGGAAGAAACCTTTGCTGATAATATGTCTCCATGTAAAAACCTCCCGAATGTCTAGATCTTAAATTATCAAAGAAAACAGGTGAGCACGCCAACAGTGTAGCACCAAATTCGTAGTCTCTGTGAGCCCCCCGCCCTTTCTCTCATTATCCTTGTCTCCGTTACACTCTTTTTGATTTTCTTGTTTTTTAACAAAGTTAGTTTGCTTAATCACATAAAAGATGGGAATAAGGACCTATAACAGGTGAGGGGAGAAAGACAAATGTATATTTTATTCAACACCCTTCATGGCTGAGGATTTATAGGATTTATTATTTTGTATGATTATGTAGGATGGATGATGTGCTGTCTTTTTATATTTATGTGCTGAGATGTATAGTTTTGTTTAATTGTATTTTATTTTACATGATTGTTTTGTTTATGTTTGTTGAAACCAAAATTCAAATAAAAACTTAAATGACAAAAAAAGTTAGTTTGCTTTCTTTCCCTTTCCTTTCAGTCTTTCTTTTATTTTTTTGGAACACTAATTTTCCGTTCTTGGGAGAGACATGGTGTAAACTAGTGCTCCGGCAGCATAAGCAGTCACTTGCTCAGCTGCGTGTAAGAATCCTCATGCAGGAGCAGACTAAACTATTTTGCACCTTAAAGGTGTGAGTGGGGCCTCAAAGAGCTTCCACTATCTATTTATTAATTTATTTGAGTTAAGTCTTTCAAACTATTTATTCAGCCAATTTGAATTTTGTTATAGCACAAATTATTTTAAAAAATTACAAACAAAAAAACAACTTTTTATTCCAAGCTTTTTGGGGGCTCCCCTCCAATTGAGGCCCTGGGTTTATCAGTCCCACTTTTCCCCCAACTATGGCGACTAGGCGAGCCACTTGTCTGTGAACACTGATTTGTCACGTGAAACTTATTTATTTAGTGGTTTGACCAGTTTAGAACACCTCGTCTGTTTAGTTTAGGAGAGGAGGAGACCTCTGTGAATAATTCGCCTCCCAGTAAGATCATCTGATCAGAAAAAAGGTGAGCACACATTATGTTACCAGAGAAGAAGAGCAGTGTCAGCTAATTGCAATCCTCACCGCTAGACGCCACTAAATCACCCTAAATCTTACACATATAACCTTCAAACATCATTGGTGGAACATAAGAGCTATGTTTTTTAATTTAGGTGAGGGGCAAATTATCAAACTCTGGTCAAAATCTAAATGAGCCACAGCTATAAATGAAGACTAGTTTAATTTTTGATGGATGGATGATTGGATGGTCAAATCTGACTACTGATCCAAGGTTAGATCAACTTGTTTAACCAGCTTGTGTGGCTCGTTTGCATTTACTATAATAGAGTACTTAGCTCCATTACATTATCTCCCTCTGCTCCTGTATTTAACTGAAATTCAGTCTCACGTTAATTCAGCCAAGCTCATAATTTCTGCCTTTGGGGAGAAGAGTCTGGTTCTGCTTGAGATTTCTGCCTCTTAAAGGAGAACTATAGGCTCATTTTCAAAATTTATATAAGAGTAAACATTAACTATTCTCTCCCAAATCCAAAAGCTACAGTGCAAAAATTCTAAACTTTGAGATGTACAATGTAATAGAGTCTAAAAGTCTGTAACTATAACACTGACAATGAATTGGGGAAGATGTTCTAGATGACACAGAGCACCCAGCGAAGTGCTCTGTGTATATGGGTATATTTTCTGTTTCAGAATTGAGAACACTACAACAGAAATAAATTCATTTGGGTAAGAAAAAAGAGAAAGCAAAAAAAAGAAAAAAAGCAAGAAAGCAAACATTTTGTGCGTCTCCAAAATCTAACCAATTGCCAGAAAAAATATTGCCATTGTACATTTTTGTAAACCACGGATGCGTTACATTTGCACATTATCATGTAGTGGATTGAAACTTTGCATTTCAACAATGTTGTGGTTAACGTGTGGTTAGCAAGAGATGATGTCTTGGTAAAACGCAGCTGCTTTTCATGGCACAATCACCATTGCCATGAAGAGCACTATCCCAGGCAGCTGGTTATCATATGTTCCACAGTTTGTAGTGGATCCCTGCATTCGCAGTGGGCACTGTCCATGAGACCCCATTTTTGCATTCCTGTCCTGAAGCGTCCTATGCCTCTCGTCAGGTGTTTCCTCTTACCAACAGGATGTGCCTGGAACACCTCAAACTGGAAGTGCCCAGTAGGCATCCTTAAGAAATGCCCAAATCATCTCTACTGACCCCTTTAGACACAAAGGAGCAATGGCTCTACTCTGAGCGTCTGGTGGCCAGGCCTTGGCCCATCAGGCTTAGTCGGGCTCAGCTAGAATAATCAACATTGAGCCGTCGCCCTGTGGGCCCACCACCTGCAGGGAAAGGAATCAGAATCAGGTGCTTGTGTGGCAGACGGCATGCAGGGGTGGGTCTGATGCTTAGTGTCGCAGACTGGCTCCGGGGATACGTTACATTTGCACATTACTATACCATACCATACCAATTTATTTATATAGCACATTTAAAACAACAGAGCTGAGACCAAAGTGCTTTACAAGTAAAAGAAAAAACAGGTAACAACGCACAATCACAACTCATAAATAAGAAACGTACACAGCGTCACATGAAGAACACCAATCACTCAGGCTGTGCTTGAAAAAGCCAAAGAATAAAAATGTGTCTTGAGGCGTGATTTAAACACCTGCAGTGTGGGGGCTTGCCTAACATGCAGAGGCAGCTCGTTCCAAAGTTTTGGAGCTGCCACTGCAGCTGATACGCTGAAACTTTGTTTTAACAATGCTGTGGTTAACATGTTGTTAGGTTTATAGCTAGGAAAAGATCATGTTTGGCCTAAAATACCCGGTTTTGGTGGCACAATCCCCAGTGCAACAAAAAGCAGTATCTCCCTGTCCCACTATCCCTGGTGTAAAAACAGTGACAGGTATCTAAAAAACACCCTTGTGTGGGCTGTCAAATCACAACTGGTTTTGTTGTTTGTTGGTCTCGAACAGTCGTCTGCAGCTTGGCAGGTGTCTGACCTACGTACAAAACCATCCACTATCCCCCCTCGTCCCTCCACCTCCTGATGACAAAGTTACCTTATACACTATATCACTTGAGAAACATTGATATGATACCTATGAAACATACAAATGCAATGTATTCATGTCTTGTAGAGAAATAGGGTGGCAACATTTTTCTTCTAGTTCCCATCAGGCTCCCATTCATTGTCTATGGAGCAGCTCCAGACTTTATACTTGATGACAACACAAGTTTGAGGCTTACTTCTCTGGTTTCTGGCTCTGAGAGAGCGAAGCTTATATTCACACATAGTGACTGAACTTTCCTCGGCCATTGAAATAACATATTTGAATATTACTTTATATGGTGTTTCCCTTTAAAAGGAGGTTTTTCCCTGCCGCTGTTGCTAATGTGCATGCTCATAATAGATAGTGTTGGGTCTTTGACTACATGCACATATGAAACCCTCTTTATAACATCTTCTATTTTCATATATTACTTTTTCCTGACATTATATTTAGTATGTAAACTCATATATATGTAAACTCATATATATATAAGATAAATGTCATAAATGTAAGCCACGCAGTCACTGTGAAATGAAATCTGTAACATGACCAGAGCAGGAAAGTCACAGCGACTGTATGTAGCACTCGTGACATGTTTCCATTCTTTGTTTCCCGTGATTCAGGACCTTATCAGTAACCAGTTAATGCTCCACACATCATCCATTTGTTTTGTTGGAGGGAACAGACACCACTGCATCATTCAACCTAACTTATTTAATATTTGATATGACAGTTTTATTTTCCATCATGAATAGGTTTAAACACGTTGTATTGGATGAACAGAAAAAAATTACATAGACATAAGATTCCATAGTTTTATTATTCAAACATAATACATTTTTTCACTTAATTAATTCACACAGGAAACCAGTATGTGTTGTGTAACACCTGATGAGATAATTTCCTTTAATCCAGTCCCTTTATTTCAAAAATATTAGTCTTAAGATCAAGTTGTAGACAAAAAGATAAAATATAATCTCCATAAAGAGGCACCTTGAGAGCACAAATTTTCATTTTCATTTGTTTAATCATTCTTAATATTTAAAGGTTCTGTAGGAGACATTCAGAGCATTAATACAGCAGTAGATAACAGTTTGTTATGTGAGTAATGGCGTCCTGACCAAATGGTTGAGTCACGCTCCTTCTGTGTGTGATCTGAGCTTCTCTGTCCGTGGTTGTGGTGGACTCTACAGGGGTCAGCAACCTGGGGCACGTGTGCCACCGCTGGCACGCTGTGGCTTAACGAATAGCACACTAGCAATAAGTTTGCTGGAGAGTTTGTTGAAATGTTCAGCTGGAGGTTTTCCCACACGTTGGGATTTATATCACCTATTTTTCCATTATCATTGTACATGTACTTTGGGGACAGACGGAGCAGCAGGACGCTGGGGGCAGTGAAGGTGTAACTTAGCCGTTCATTGTGCTGGGTCTGAAAGTTTCCTTTCACTCAACGCAGCAGCCGTTCCTCTCATCCATTGATCTAATCTGATCAGATCGGATCAACTGAGCTATAGACCCTTTTACTGTTAGTAAACAGTACGGCATTTTTTTGGTGAGCGGGGCTTAGCTGGAGGCAAAACAATTCTCAACAGACATTAGCCAGCGCTAGCTAGTGAGTTATTTTGGCTTGTTTAAGACAGTGAAGGAAGATGATGTGAGTGGTGTGGGAATGTACCGTTTGGGCCTTTAGTCTCATTGCATTTACCTATAGCTGTCTTTGTTTTTGTTGATGGGCAGTGCCTGCTGGTGTGCAATAAAATTTAAGTTTTGAGTCATGACTCCTTCTATTCTGGCTCCCAATAAAACAACAAGACTTTTCTACTCCATAACTCAAACTCCACAAACTGCTGGCAAGGAAAAGAATAAACTCATGAGAGGGGACACACACGCAGGGAAAGTCTGCAGCTTTAACATCGCACTTGATGAGAGTATGGATGTGAATCATATACCACGTTTGGTGGTCTTTTTAAAAAGGTTGCCGACCCTGTGGCAGATGGTCCAGTGGCACCTACATGTTAAGGCATGTGAGTCCCTGAGTGTGAATCCCTCTGGCTAGCTAACCACCACTCGCCACCGCTGTACTGTTGATAATACCTTCCTGATCCATTGAGGCCGACCTTTGTTGTTGCGGAAACATAGCGCCCACCCTCTGGTTCCCCCCGGTTAACACCATTAGCTCTGTCAGCACTGTTGCAGTTGTTAGTGCTGTTCGCCACCTCCATGTTGACAACCGCGTGCAGACAACTCCAGCCTGGACTCTGACTCATAGATATGCTCTCAATGTATACAGCTGCTTTAAATTCTTATCAAATGACATGTCTGTCTACTTAATTCCTGTCCATCTACCAAATTTCATAGATTATTTTTTCAATCATAATCAGACGTTTTCTTGACTTTGGGCCCTGCATGCTGATCTTAGTGCTCCTTCTTCAGCTTGGCCAGACCCATGAGGAGCTGGTCCCTCCTCTCCATCCTGGCAGACAGATGCTGCGGGTTGCTGGGAATCAGCTCACACATCTCCTGCAGACAGCAGGGAAGGAAACGTGAGAAAAAAGCAAAGAATAGATGCCTTTCACATGATGTGACAGTCCTCAGGAACTCCAAAAACAATGGATGAGAGTATAGATGATTGTATTTCCAAAAATATGCAATAGTTGGGTTTAACTGGAAACATATTCTTTCAGCACATGTTGTTTTTGGGTACTATTAGTTTCTTAGCTAACCTCCACTTCGCTGCTGTGAACACATCTGATTTACACACTGGATAATGTGTGCTAGCTCGAACACAGGAAGTGCATGGATGTAAGGTCTGATTCCCACAATGTCTCTGTATTGGTCATGTGTTCTAGCAAACACAGTTGGCCATGCTTGTGTAAAGCTTGTCATCGGACTCTGACTGGTTGGTTGGGATGCCTTCACAGTATGGAAAAGGCATATAGTGTGAACCTTGGTATGTTTTGCCCTCTTGGTGAAGCTCATTGTTGGCAGATAAAAAGAAGAGGCTGGTAACCCCATGTGTCATAAATGTGGCATGTCTGTCTCAAGAGTAGAGTAAAGAAACTGTTTCCAAACTGGGAGAAAAGGAATGACATTTCCTCAAACCTAGGTAGAATTAAAAAATAAGTGAAACTTGTATGGCATGACCATTAGACTCAATATTCAAAAACAAGTTTTTTGCTGTTATCTGGCCTGACTGTCTTTTTAGTTAGCAGTTGAGTTCTTACAGCTTTGGCATTAAGGCTTGAGCTAAAGCAGGAGTGCATGTGGATGCACAGTACATTATGTTGCAGCAGTGTTTGAGAAACATACTGGAAGATTTCACACTATTTTTTCCTGGGTTGCTGCTGGGATCTGTTCTCAATCCAAGCTGACTATAGCTGCTGTCCTCTATGAGAGAACAAGCAACAAACTTCGAAGTTACACCTTTTAAAGCTATAAGGAAGTGAATGAGTGACACTCATATCATTTGTTTTCGGCCAGCCCAGTTGTCAGTATAAATGTTGGCAGGTTTCTGCAAACCCTGAGTACATCAGTGTGTTACTATGTAGTGGATATGTTGGAACTTTATGTCTCAACAACTCTGTGGTTAATGTGTGGTTATGTTTAGACACAAAACCACTTGGTTATGGTTAGAAAAGGAGGATGTTTTGGGTTAAAATGTCCAGTTTTGGGGGCACTATTCTGTCTGGAAACACAACAATGTCTCTGTAAAAAAACAACCACTTTTTGTGGCATTGTCCTCAGTGGAAACATTGCAATGACTCGCCAAAAAACAAGCAGTTTTGTTTTGTTGGTCTTGAACAGTCGTCTGCAGCTTAGTGGGTGTCTGAACTTCAGGTGTCATACCATCCACCATCCCCTACACCTCCCAATGACAAAGTCAGCTTCTTACGTCACTTCAGTAACATTGCTAGGATGCCTGTGAAACTTAAATATGTAACATTCGTGGTTCATGTGGCTGGTTTTTTTTTTGTGCTTCCATGTATCTCTACCGTTGTACCATTAGCTTAGAAAATTTAGCTCCTGGGTGTGATTCTGTATATACAACTTAAGTCAACATGCAAAGGCAATATTGTAAGTGAATGTTTTAGAATATGACTTTCTTAAGACTCCAAACTTGTGTACCACCTATAAATATTTCCTAGGAGAGGCAGAAAGCACCAGAAAACAAGGTATCTGTCACCTTAAACTATTTATTGCACCAGCTTACGGTTTCCTCACACAGTGACCTTGTGTGGCTAACGTTTTAACAGCCTCTGATAGCATGTGACTTAGTAATGCCTACTTAGGAGAGAGCAATTTGACGGCGGAGTGACAAAGAACTCCTGATTTTCAGTCATGCAGAACTAAAGTGACCATTGAGAAAACATTATATTCATTCAACCTAATCAACGGGAAAACAATCATAAAACCAGGCAACAATATCTATTTATTTTTTTAAGATATGTTTTGGTGCATTTTTGCCTTTAATTGATAGGACAGTCAAGCATGAAAGGGGGAGAGAGAGAGGGAGTGACATGCAGCAAAGGGCCACAGGCTGGAGTCGAACCTGGCCCGCTGCGGCAACAGCCTTGTACATGGGGCACCTTCTCTATGCACTCAGCTACCGACGCCCCAACAATATCTCTTTTGATTAAAATGAATAGTTACATTTTGAGCATGAGTTTCAATTAATGCATTGTCTCATTCACTGCCGTCATACTTACATTTACGATTCTCTTGGCTGCCTCACTGCTGGAGAAGTTTGGTACAGTCCCAAAAGAGTTCAGGACCCTCGTTATGCCCTCTCCATACCGTTTCATATAGTCCTCCAAACCTGCGGGAGGACAGTTGGTCAGATGGGGACAGCATGGGCAAAATAACACAAATCTCCATTTAAGTGTTTTGTCTTCTTTGGCCAATCCCACATGGGATTACAAGACACTGTTATTTTATAATAATGGTCTTACATGTACCAAACAAAACACATAAATTGAAAAGAAAAGAAACAAACACAAAGAATTAGAAACAAAACAAACCAGAATTACTGCCTTGCGGTTGTGTACCTCAGTGAACCAGTCAAGTTGCAGTTACAGTTTCACCCCATCTCTATCCAGACTTTAATACAGCCACGGCAGTTCACAATACAATCAGCACAGTTTTAACATGGACAACAAAATTTGTGTCACCAATGTAGTATGTCTCCCCTCTTGTTGACGAGTTAAGATGTTAGAAAAGTGTTTTTGGAGAACATTATGATGTCACAGTGAAGCTGATCTTTCACTATTTGGATATAAACTGTCATGTAATGCCTTATTTCATTCTATTACACATTCATGTAAAAAAACATTCATAATTAGCACATGAATTTTTAGGTTATGGCCAAAAACATGTTTTGTAAGGTCACAGAGACCTTTGACAACTAAAGTATGACGAGTTCATGTGGAAGTTTGTGCCAAATTTGAGGAAAATCCCTCATGGCCTTTTTGAGATATCGCGTTCATGTGAGTGAGACAAGAAGTCAGTCAAGGTCACAGCGATCTTGACCTCTGACCACCAAAATTTAATTTAATTTAAGAATTTAATTCTAAGTACATGTTTGTGCCAAATTTGAGTAGATACCCTGAAGACGTTCTTGAGATATCACACTCCCGAGAATGAGACAATCATGATGTCACAGTGACCTTGACCTCTGACCACCAAAATCTAATCAGTTAATGTGAGTCCAAATGGATGTTTATCTATTTTTTATCTTACTAAACAAAGCATCACACAGTTCACAATAAACAGAGAAGATATTCTTATTTATCTGTTTATAACTGACATCATACAACTGTGAAATGTCTTTTGTAGAAAGTAGAAAACGAATTAAAACTTGTTTTCTATATCGTTAAGACAACACATTGGACAGATCAGCTTTTCTCCTACTAGATTAACAAACCCTCCAGTTTCAACAGTCAAAGGTAAAATACCAGATATCACTTGAGCATATAGAGATCTTTGCTTTTTAGACACATTATATACAACATAATTCTCCGCACCATATTATTTTTTTATCAACGTAAAAGTACACAGTTCAGTCAGGAACCCTTTAGTTAAGGAAAACCTAATTTCCATTTGCAGTATTATATTTGGCAGTATGGCTCTGTTCTGGGGCCTCTCTGCCTTTCATCAGGCCTACACAGAAAGCCTCCTCCACACGCCTACGTGGGAACTCTAAGGCAGAGAGAGCCATGTGCAAATGAGGAAAGCCTTGAGGCACAGAGAGCAAACCTCCCTGCCCTCCCATGCACCTACATGGAAAGCCTGAGGCCTGACGGAGAGCAGCAGCAAAGCCCCCTAGGAACAGAACAGAATCAGCATCCAAACAGAAATGACACTGATAAGCCAGACACAACATAAAAAGGAGGAGCTGGGGTGGAGGCAGGTTGCAAAGCAGCTTGCAGAGGAAGCAGCAATAGTAGGCAGGCCAAAGCAGTTTAAATAGGGCGCCCTGAATGAGATCCACCAATTGGTTGCATAGAAAGGAATCATGTGATCTATCAGCTGACTCCCTTCTATCATTCAGCTGCTCCACTGGGCTGTTTGAGATCAGCTGATGTAGCTGGGATGTGAGCTGAGCTTGACACCTTGTCCTGCCTGAACTAACACTATGCTCAATTTGTGGTCTAGTCCACATACTTTAAAGTAAATATTCTGCTCCACTCCAGGAAAGCATTGTCATGGTGCTCAGGGCAAAAAAGGTGTCCTGACCTTTTACAAATTTCCTGCAGGTGAAGTGACAAACACACTGTAGGAGTTATGAAAGTACATTCCAACGACTGTTGGAAATGGTTTTCCAACAGTCTTGAAGGAGTTCCCAGAGGTGTTTAGCACTTGTTGGCCCCTTTGCCTTCACTCTGCGGTCCAGCTCACCCCAAACCATCTTGATTGGGTTCAGGTCCGGTGACTGTGGAGGCCAGGTCATCTGCCGCAGCACTCCATCACTCTCCTTCTTGGTCAAATAGCCCTTACACAGCCTTGAGGTGTGTTTGGGGTCATTGTCCTGTTGAAAAATAAATGATCGTCCAACTAAACGCAAACCGGATGGGATGGCATGTCGCTGCAGGATGCTGTGGTAGCCATGCTGGTTTAGTGTGCCTTCAATTTTGAATAAATCCCTAACAGTGTCACCAGCAAAACACCCCCACACCATCACACCTCCTCCTCCATGCTTCACAGTGGGAACCAGGCATGTGGAATCCATCCGTTCACCATTTCTGCGTCTCACAAAGACACAGCGATTGGAACCAAAGATCTCAAATTTGGACTCATCAGACCAAAGCACAGATTTCCACTGGTCTAATGTCCATTCCTTGTGTTTCTTGGCCCAAACAAATCTCTTCTGCTTGTTGCCTCTCCTTAGCAGTGGTTTCCTAGCAGCTATTTGACCATGAAGGCCTGATTGGCGCAGTCTCCTCTTAACAGTTGTTCTAGAGATGGGTCTGCTGCTAGAACTCTGTGTGGCATTCATCTGGTCTCTGATCTGAGCTGCTGTTAACTTGCGATTTCTGAGGCTGGTGACTCGGATGAACTTATCCTCAGAAGCAGAGGTGACTCTTGGTCTTCCTTTCCTGGGTCGGTCCTCATGTGTGCCAGTTTCGTTGTAGCCCTTGATGGTTTTTGCAACACCACTTGGGGATACATTTAAAGTTTTTGCAATTTTCCGGACTGACTGACCTTCATTTCTTAAAGTAATGATGGCCACTTGTTTTTCTTTAGTTAGCTGATTGGTTCTTGCCATAATATGAATTTTAACAGTTGTCCAATAGGGCTGTCGGCTGTGTATTAACCTGACTTCTGCACAACACAACTGATGGTCCCAACCCCATTGATAAAGCAAGAAATTCCACTAATTAACCCTGATAAGGCACACCTGTGAAGTGGAAACCATTTCAGGTGACTACCTCTTGAAGCTCATGGAGAGAATGCCAAGAGTGTGCAAAGCAGTAATCAGAGCAAAGGGTGGCTATTTTGAAGAAACTAGAATATAAAACATGTTTTCAGTTATTTCACCTTTTTTTGTTAAGTACATAACTCCACATGTGTTCATTCATAGTTTTGATGCCTTCAGTGAGAATCTACAATGTAAATAGTCATGAAAATAAAGAAAACGCATTGAATGAGAAGGTGTGTCCAAACTTTTGGCCTGTACTGTAGTTTTAATATTATGTAAGCACAAGCTTCTTCAAAGCTATTAATAACATTTAGACTTGACTTAAGTTGTTTTCTTGCAATTGAAGGCTGGAACATGCTTCTCTGGGCTCCATGTAAGTGACATGACATGAATTTAGATATTACATACATTTTTTCCCCTGTGTTGAACCCACCTTCAGACATAAACTTGTTAAACTAATGACACACTGGTCTGTGCAACACACAGGATACCATCCTCCTCAGTGTACATCTAGAACTACTATATTCTGTAGTTGCCTCACACTGAATTGGAAACGTGATAATGCAGCTACAGCAGCAACGTTTCTAAAAGATGTGATCACATTTTTGTCTCTCAAAGCCTTCATACCATGCATCTTATGTATCTGTCCCATTTTTTTAAGTTGTATGTATCCATGGCCCATTTGCGAGGTTTTTTGTCCAGTGAACAAAAGATAAACGGTAACTGCATATCAGCTCCAAGATACAGCACTATATTGCACAAGTTTCATTGGTGACTGTCACATAAAAAGTTTTTTATTTTTCTAGTATTTTCTGTAGTTTATACATCCTGCATCATATTATTTTTAGACCAGCTTCAGTCACTCTGAAGTGGGAACTCCTCCTTGCTGATAGCACATGTTGAATTCTTCTTAAATAACTGTCAGGGTCTTTGAAGCTCTTTCTGGTCTTAGTTTAAGTTTCCATGTGACTCCTCCTGGTTGTTATTCTCTCATTACACATCATTATTGATTAATCTTTAATGATTTATTTGTGATGTAGGAAACAGACACTTTGGCTGATGAATGATTCATGTGCTGCCCAAATAAACTGTCAAAGATTAATAAATGAGGGTTCTGGTTTTCCTCTGAACTCAATGAGCTACTTGTTGCATCCACTCAGATGCAAATAGTTGTAGAAAAATGACAACACACAGCCAATTATCTCTGAGGCAACACCTATCCCTGTAACAACAGTGACGAGACAAAACATACCATAAAGATGGTCAGTGGAATAGTTGGTTGACATTCCTGTGATAAGAACCACAGCAGGTGAGGACTAGGTCGAAGGGCATAGCTTTTGTTTCAACATAAGGGGGGGCACACATATGAAACAGAGGGATAGGGGTCCACCACCAGAAAGTTATGAGCATCAAACACTTATTTTCCTGCATCATGCATCTAAAAATTGCATCTAAAAATTGAGGGGGACATGTCAAAGTCAAAGTCAAAATTTATTTATATAGCACATTTAAAAACAACCTCGGTTGACCAAAGTGCTGTACAGTTCATCCAAAGAATGAATGAAGAGCAAAAACCACAAAAATTATCAATAAGATCAACAATAGGTTTAGACAATAAAACATCAACACTAGAGTACAGGTAAAATACAAATAAAAGCTGTAAAAGACATGTCTATCTCAACTAGAGGTGAAAGCAAGCGAAAAGAGGTAGGTTTTTAAAAGAGATTTAAAGTGTTCCAAAGTTTGGGCTGCCCTTACATGGAATGGTCCCATGCGTCGCTCCGAAATCTATACCAATGACTAATGCTTTGAAATACATATTTTTTTTACTGTATTGTTTGACTGCAAGGGTTGATTATTGGTGCCTTCACAAAATATCTACATGATGTGGTTTTTGATTA